GTGCCTTTGAATCTGTAGCATTTGATTTTAGAACTTCCTCGGTACCTTTGATTTTGTATCAAAGATGATTAATGATATTCAGCTCATCAACAAAAGGGGCATTGGAAGATGGAGTTCAAAAGGGTCAAGTACCTTCTTCCGCAAATCTGCAATCCACACCTTACTACTAACACTAGCGTCTCGTAAAGCTACTTGACTAAGTCTAGTTGGAAACAAGAGAACCCTAAACATATAAATTCTTTATGGTCAGCCAATTAGGGTGGAGTTAATAGAGCTGAAAGAATGTGGCAGAAAAAAGAACATCATCCTAAGGTGCCTTTACTCCAAACATGTGTGTACTTGACAGGAGAAAGGAATGGAATCCAAAGAATATTTTTGGTCAGTTCTCCTCAGCCAAAAATGTTGGAAAAAAATTACTCAATATTTTGGGCTGAAATGGTGTTTCCCTTGGGTGACCAAAGAGTTACATGAGAATAAGTGATGCTGCGTGGACATGAGTTTTTAAGCAAAATTTTTCATGGACTATATATATCTTTTACATCCGCTAGTGTCTGTTGTGGGCACTTTATTATTATAGGAAACTGCTTGATCCTAGTGTGTTTGGTTGTCAAGGAAGCTCGTAAGATATTAAATCATAGGTAAAAGACTACCGTGACTTGAATCAACTTCTTTTAAGCCCTTTATTATCTACATTGACCCTTATTGACCACTGGGCTAACCAGTGATGATTCAAAGTTTCCATGGACTATTGTAGTCATAGTTGTGCTTTGAGATGTTTGGTTAGATAGAAATAAGAGAATTTTTAATGATGTATAGAGAATGGAGATTGGGAGAAAATCAGGGATACACCTGAAACGTTTTTCCTCTGCTTAACATACACTGTCTATAATTGGTAACTACAACTTTTTATTGGTTTGTTCCAATTTGAGCTCCTCATTTAAGCTTTGGTGTTTGGGTATTTGGACCAGGTTCTTTTGTACTTTTCAAATGTGGAATAAAAAACTTATAACGTTTCCTATCAAAAAAGAAAAAGAAAAATTAAGATGATAATTACCAAACATGCTTCCACTGCTAAAATGGGAAAAAGAAAAATCACAACAGTTGGTATTAGATTAAGTTTTTGAATTAATAGGTGATTTAATGCGGTTTTAAAACAGGAGGTCCCATGTTCAAACCACTGTAAAGTCATTTCCTCCCCCAATTAAATGGAATTCCACTTGCTAGATGTTCAATAAATTTTCAAGCCCACAAGTGCGGGACGTATTAGAGTGTTGATATAATATTAAATTTATTGTAACCTATCACCTTAAGCTTTTGGGCTAATATGTGATTTAACATGATATTAATGCAGGAGGTCCTGTATTGGAACCACTATAAAGTAATTTCTTCTCCCAAATAATATTGAATTTGAGAGTATTAGAGTGTTGATATAATATTAAATTTACCGTAACGTATCAGCTTAAGCTTTGAGTTAATTGGTGATTTGTCTTACTAACCTAATATGAATCGAACTCTCCTTAGCCGATCGGAGGATTGAATCTTCAGGTGGAAGCAATTTGCACAAAGCCAACGCTTCCTCAAAGTTGCCAGATGCTGTTAATTGTACAATCTGCAGCCCAAAAGACAGCTTCTTAAACATAAACCTCTGAGCAAGATGTTTGTGCTATATCCAGATTTTGGAGCATATAAACTAAATAATAATCCTTTAAATCTATTTAATAACACAATGTAGATGAAAGTGCCGAAAATACTGAAATTACTCTATCTACTCAAATCATAAAACAATCTAATTTTGTACATATTATTTCCCTTTTGACAATCAACATGGACACAGACACCCCAAACTACAATTAACACAATTAACACAATCTTGTACATGAGCTGAAGCTCACCTGTGCACCAAGAGGCACAGGAAAGAGGCCATAGGCAGAATTGTCTAATCCAACAACCGAAGCATGCTTACTGTCAATAAGGTGCCGACCATTTCGAAGGACAATGGTTTGTATCAATGAGTATGGAGACCGGAGAGACCGAACCTGCAAATTTAAATAACGGAAGCATATGTAAAGATTTCAATAATGAAGTGTTTTAAATTGCTCACAGTGGATCAAAGATACCTCAATATATCTTGGCAACAAAGCAACTGCATAGGGATTCTGTATGACAACGACAGAAGGTGCCTCTGACCAACAAATCCGACCTTCTTGAAGAAGTTTCCCATTTTGGTCCACGAAAACACCAATATTATCCTAAAAGTGAGACATGAAGCATCTATTCCATAAATGTGTAAGGAAAATTACTACGAATGTTATACAATATTATTTTTGTTTTCAATTTAAATCCGACATCAACCGAGTTTGAAATATGAGCCAACTGCTGGACTAGAATTAGCATAGCAGCAAACAAGCCCACTTGTCTGCTACAAAAAGTGCATCTCAAGCATGAATAATTTGTATAGAAGTATCATTTGGTGCAGCACAGCAGTATACTTAATCTGATTTCCAGATTTTAAAAACTTCATTTCACTCTACCTCTCATTCTACTTTGGCTTTCTGTAAAAGTATAAATATATATTATATATGAAATACAACTGTGATGAAAAGACTTCCATTCTCCCAACCTTTACTGCATGATCCTCCATTCTCTTCTCATAAGTCATCTTTCAAATGCATCACAATCATATACGTATTATTTGCTATTGTAGGTCACCCTTTCAGCTGGTTTTTTTTTTTTTTTTTGTTTTACAAACTGTAGCTAATTAGAACTTTTTGCTAATCATTTGATTCAAAAAAATGGAAGAATAATTAATAGTGAAGAGAAATCTTTTTTATCTTTCAAAATGAAGAGAAACCTTTTGGGATTTTTTTTTGTTTTTTTGGGAAATTCTAATCTTGCTTGATTTGAGTTGAGGCTCCCTGCCTCCTTGAAATTTCATATGTTCAGTGAAACCGGTTTCCTACAAAAGCATGTACTTTTGGTTCTTTTCAGTTCCATTCCAAATGCACCTCCATCAATCGCTTATGCAGTCATAATAGATACATATATTTTCATTGTCTCCTCTCTTCCACATATTAGCAAAGATCACCTTCAGCGAACTAACTAAACTGAGAAGTTTAAAATATAATAATATTTCTTTTCGTATATACAAACTATAATGCCGCACAGAGAAATATGCGAGTGGCTGCATAGAAATGTGGCATTAAGGGATCAAGAGAGGCCCATAATTCAAGCGTTTCTAAAGAGAGTATCGAGTTCAAAGCCGCAATTCTAAGAAGGTATAAGATTTCATGTTTCATCACTTAAACTGATCCCTTCTATTCTATGGTTATCGGTGCTTTAATTCTTCACTTTGTATAGCATAAACTTTCTTTCTTTTTTTTTCAGAGAAAACACCTAAGCAGCGGAATTTAAAATGTGAATTACAGGATCAATACATACCTTTCCAAGGAGAAGTTCTCCAGAAGGTAGCGAGACTACCAAAGGCGGGGCCAACCTCCCAGAAGGAAATACATCAGTCAATGTGCCGCTGGTAGCATTTAATATCACGTATTCTCTTTTAATTCCCAAACATATATTTTCTCCACACCAAGACATTGACTTCACTGTGTCAGGGACACCAAATTCTTTAACCTCCACGAATCCCCGTCCCCCTACAATGCCAAAAGTATCTAAACTTCCTTGCCAAAAACTCTAATTATAACTTCTAAATGGGTAACTTTTATATTGAAATCTTGGCAAATGTTCCTTCAAACTGCCGAGTAACCGAACAAACGTAAAAGATCACGAATTGAGACTCCATGACTAGAAACTGCGAAAGGTTAAATCTATTCCACGAACTAAAATATCAAAAGCTGAAATGCCGCTTTTTCTAAGCTGAAATCAATTCAAACTCGAAGTCTACGAACTGGCTGGAAAAAAAAAAACATTGAGTGCATAGATAATTACCGTCATGCCTGAAAATACAGACCCTCTTTTGCCTTGCGAAGCACAAGAAGCCTCGGCGATCGTCCCAGGAATACGTATTGGCACCCTTGGCCTTGGTTATTACGGCAAGAGTCTCCAAATTGGGAAGTTTGTGAAACGCGATTGATTCAGAGAGAGTCAAAAGGAGCTCCCTCGAATCAATGACCTTCATCGACACCAAAGATCTCCGGGAAAATCCCTTCACGTTCTTCTCCAGTATATAAGGTTCCTTTTGCAGCTCCATCGACATCGAGTGGAAATCAGACGACAGAGAACGGTCTGGACCGGAGGATACCGGGGAGTAAATACGAAGAGATCCATCTGAGCAACCGATGAAAAGCTTGGAGCCGTAAGACTCGATCGATTCGATCTTCGAAGGATTATCCTTGAATAGCTCGAAGGAATCGTAAGCACTATGCACCATCTCGTCTTCTCAATTAGAACATCTTCGATTGTCGTTCTCAACAAATCAAATACACCTGAGTTCATTTTCTTTCCTTTTCTTTTGGCAAATAATCCCCCGCGAAATGAAGGCGAAAAATCAATTTAGACATTTTCGAGGGACTGTTTGAAGTTTATAATTTTAATAAGATTACTTTTAATATTTTAAATTATAAAGATAAAATTCTAATTTTTGTAAAATGTAGGGACTAATTTGTAATTTAACTTAAAGCAATCCTAAGCTGAGTGTCCTGAATAGACAGACTTCCGAGTTTCCACGGCATCCCGAGATTCTCACGAAAACCCTCGTCTCTTCTCCACCGTACTTGGGGCAGTAACAGGTAACTGCAAATCTTCGCTCAATCGCCCTCCATCATCAGCGTTTTACTTGTAGCTCAACGGTTGAAGGTCAAGCCAAGGTAATTCAATATCTCGTGTTTTCTTTCATTATCTTGCAGTATTTTATGGTTCAAATACCTCTATGCGTCGGTCACACTTTCCTTCAGTCTCTCATGGCGGTTGTACAGCCCTAGATTTCTGTCTTAAGGTGTTCTTGATTTCTATTTCGAAGCTTTTTCTGGTTGACTCTCCTTGAGTTTTGGAAGATAGTCATGGCAGTCTTATAGCTCTAAATATTGAGGATTTTCTTTTTTAAAATTTAACTTCTAGGCTTAACTTGTGAGGTGCCCTAAGTTTGATTTGTGTGAACATGGCTCTCGATCTTGCTCTGTGTGTGTGCGTGTGTGTGGCTATGTTCTGCTGTACTCTGCTGTATGTTTAAAGTTTTTATATTTTCTTGTTTGGGACCGTGGTTTTGGTTGCTAGACTCTGGGCAAATATGGTTTCTGTCGATTTTATTGTTAATAGTAAATTGATGAAGCTTTGAGACTTGTAACGGTTGCAATATTGATTGTGTTTTGGGGAGGCATTAATTTATAAATATTAAACTACGCAAAAATTAGCTTTCAAAGTGATAATTTTACAGGTCTCGGACATATTTTACAAACCCTTGACCTGAGTTGGGGCCCGACTCAACCCAAACCCATGAATCTTGTTGGGGTTAAGTTGGAGGCTTTATAACTCCCGCTGATAGTTTCATGAGATAAAACTCGTATTCATTTAATATCTTTTTTCTTTAATCTTATCTTAGTTCTATACCCACTGCTATCATATGGCTTTCCATTGTTAGGATGAACAAGGAAAAATTAGGGATAAAGTGAGCGATTAAGATTTATCTGCTCAAGGTGCAGGGCTTCGTGATACAAATTTTGGGTGCAACACCATGCTCTCATGAGAAAATATTTGAACTGTCATGGCGATGAACCTACTTTACCCCCTTATGCTATGGTTATGACTGTGAGAGGTTGGGGGCCTAGTGGTGGATGGTGGTGCTGTCTTTTTTACCTCTTGTGGAATTTGATGACTGAAGACGCATTGACTGCCTAAGAGTTGTGGAAAATTATAATATTATGTTCACCATTCGTGAGGATGATGTGATACTTGAATCTTTTGGGGATGGATGAGTAATGTTCGCCATTTAAGGCAGTAGCATGAGTTAGTTCATTAAAACAAGTGGTAGGAGTAACTTGTTGAGGTAGCTCTTGTAGTCAGTTATTTAGTGGCAACTATGAGTATGAAGGAGAAGTTTGTTATATTAGCCTTGGCAGGAAGTTATAATTACAAATATAGTAAGGTGGTGAGAAATTTGGGAGATTTTGAGATTAGTTTGTGGTAGAGAGATATCCTCGTAACTTAAAGAACCTATGTTCCGACTCAGCCCAACTATTGTGCTGCTCTAATTCTTCGTCAATTGATTTAAGACTATTCATAGAATTTTTACCTGAGTAATCTTGAGGAGGGGGAGAACTTCTCATAACTGCTGATGAAATTCTACTGCCAATCTCTTAATGAGTTGATCAGCTTCCAGTTGTAAATTACACTTTCTCAGTTTTTTTGGGGGTAGTATGTGTTTCATGGAGATGTGGAGGGTGGCTTGTGTTTCCTTCGAACATCTTGATGGTATTATTTTATAGCATTCCCTGGTTTGCAAGGTGTTAAATATGGATTTTGACTACTAAAGAATAGCACGAATTTGAGCCTTATAAATAGTTTTTCTACTTTTTCAGGACAGGAGGGAAAGTCACAGAAGTCACAGATTTTGGTGTCAGAGGCTGTGATATGGCAGATCTAGAAAATTTACTTCTGGAGGCTGCTGGAAGAACTAATGCAGCAGGGAGGAATCGACACTCTCATCCGCCATCTCGAAGACAGCGTGAGGGTTCATATTCTGATGCTGGAAGTGACTCTAGGGATGATGACTCAGATGATGATCGTGGTTATGCTAGCAGGAAGCCTTCTGGATCTCAGGTTCCTCTGAAGAAGAGGCTAGATCCTGCTGAAAGAGATGATGATGCGGGCAGCCAAGAAGAAGGGGACAATGAAGATGTTGGTTCAGATCGTGAGGGTGACAGCAGTAATGAATCTGACGTTGGGGATGATCTTTATAAAGATGATGATGACAGGCGCAAGCTTGCTGGTATGTCTGAACTTCAAAGGGAGATGATTCTTTCAGACAGAGCGTCAAAGAAGAATGATAAGCATTTATATGAAAGCTTAAGAGCTAAGAAGGATAAAGGGAAGACTGCTCCATCTCGGAAAGAGATCTCACCTCTCCCATCATCACGTATTAGATCGTCTGCTAGATCTGCTGATAGAGCAGCTGCGAAAGATGATGCTTTAAATGAATTGCGTGCAAAAAGGTTGAAACAGCAGGATCCAGAAGCTCATCGTAAATTGAGAGATGCATCAAGAGGGAATGCTAATAATCGAAGGTTCTCACCAACAAAACGAAAGCCCTTCACTGCTCCTAGTTTGAGTAGCTCAAGTGAAAGTGAAAGTAGGTTTCAAAGTGAAGATGAAGAGTCTACAGGAGATGGCGGAATGGTTGACAGTGATGATGAAAGATCCATGTCTGGTTTAAAAGGGCCAACATTTGAGGATATCAAGGAAATTACTATTCGTAGATCAAAGCTTGCAAAATGGTTAATGGAACCATTCTTTGAGGAGTTGATAGTTGGGTGCTTTGTGAGAGTTGGAATCGGGAGATCAAGATCCGGGTCTATCTACCGGCTCTGCTTGGTGCGCAATGTTGATGCAACAGAACCTGATCGTCAGTATAAGCTAGAGAACAAAATCACACATAAATATCTTAATGTTATTTGGGGAAACGAAAGTTCTGCTGCCAGGTGGCAGATGGCTATGGTATCGGACTCTGCACCACTTGAGGATGAATATAAACAATGGCTTAAGGAGGTAGAGCGAACTAATGGTCGGATGCTGAGCAAGCAGGATGTATTGGAAAAGAAGGAAGCTATACAGAAAGCCAACAACTTTGTCTACTCAGCGGCCACAGTGAAGCAGATGTTGCGAGAGAAAAAATCTGCTTCATCAAGGCCATTAAATATTGCAGCTGAGAAGGACCGGCTGAGGAGAGAGATGGACGTAGCACTAAGCAAAAATGATGAATCTGAGGTTGAGAGGATCAAGGCAAGGCTGCAGCAATTAGAGGCATCCAGGAGGTTGCAGATGAAAGATACCAAGGCAATTAGGTTAGTTGAGATGAACAGGAAGAACAGGGTGGAGAACTTCAAAAATGCATCAGAACTAAGACCCTTGAAAGACTTGAAAGCTGGAGAGGCCGGTTACGATCCCTTCTCAAGGAGATGGACCAGGTCAAGGAATTACTATGTTGGAAACGCTGGTGAAGCCAATGGGGCTGCGGAAGCAGGTGGCAACAGTGATAATGCAATGCCTGTATCAGAGACTAATAGAACAGGATCTGGTCGGACTGCAGAAGCTGGCATGGCAGCTACAGCAGCGGCATTGGAAGCTGCTGCTGGGGCTGGAAAGTTGGTTGATACTAGTGCTCCTGTAGATGGAGGTACAGAATCAAACTCGCTGCACAACTTTGAGCTGCCTATATCATTGGCTGTGCTTCAGAAATTTGGTGGACCCATGGGAGCTCAGGCTGGGTTCTTAGCAAGGAAACAGCAGATAGAAGCCACAGTTGGACGTCAAGTCCCTGAGAACGATGGGAGGCGGCATGCCCTGACACTGACTGTTAGTGACTACAAGAGAAGAAGAGGGCTTCTTTGAAACTCGATGGCTGCAACTAAATAGTACGTCATTCGATATTACTGCTCCGACATAGCGTGTTCTGGTCTTCGAGGATTTGGCATATAAACAATTATCGAGTTGGTAAGGTAACTGTTAGAAGCGCCCTTAAGTTGAACAAGAAATGCTTCCTGATTGCGGCAAATCTTTTGAGCCTGTAAGAAATCCGTGTAGTTCTGATTAATTTTGCCACATTACCACTGCTGTGGCCCCTTGTGTTCAGTGATTTGCCAAGTCTGAAACAGTTGAGAGTTGTCTATGGTTCGAGTTTTCTTTTGTGTATGAAATTTGTGTATGTTTCAAGATTTGTAAGTGAAGATTAAATCCATCCAGTCACGGTGAAAACTCCTGTTACTTCTTAGGGTTATTTATACATGATTTTCAGAATTGTTTTGCCTTACTTTCTACCATTCGAGCTCGGATCTTGTGTATGAGTTTTTGTCTTTTGTCTTAATTTGAACGAAACATGTTTAAAAGTGTCATGTGAGTTTTGGAATTTGCAACATGTTTCTTATTTCTCATATTTGTTTATAGAAAATATTAATGAAATTGTTCTTCTCACCACCCACTGGTTCCGCTTTCCATTTTGAAAATGAGTACTAATAAATAAAAATTAATTAAACCAATGGGCGGCTAAATTATAGCCTTTTTCTGAACCTTCATTGACCGTTCTGTCACCAATTAATTAAACCCAAGATTCCAACAAATCATTATACGTGCTTCTCTCCTACTGGACCGTGACGCGTTTTTCCTCGGTGACCAATGTGCTTACGCCCTTTAAACCATTTTAGACTCGTAATTAAAAGTTCGCACAGTCACGGACACAGGAAGAAGAAGGATGACGCTGGGGCTGATCAATGCGAACCCTGTGGTTCACGCCAAGAAAGAGCGGATCGCTCGCTCCGAGGATCTCCATGGTGACGACTCCGTTGATCCTCTCGAAATCTATGATATCCTTTTCTCAGTTGTTTGTGTTGTGACCGATTTTGAATTCTTCTTTTATTTTCTTTTTAGGTCAAATTTCAAGCTGAATTCTAATTAGAAAATTAGTTTTTTCGCAAGTTCTTAGTGACCGGATGTATAGTTTTAGCTTATTTTGAGGAAATTGGCTTTTCTCGTTTCTCGTGGAATTTGTTACTTGATAGTGAATTTGCTAACTTATTATCCTTGACTCGAATTTTGACACATTTCGTGAGGGATATTAGAGATCCGGAACATCCGTATTCGTTAGAGCAGCTAAGTGTTCTCTCGGAGGAATCGATCACCGTCGATGACAAGCTAGGGCGTATCCTGTAAGCACAGTCGAAGCAACTCCGCTAATTCTTCCTCATTGATTTTGAGAAACAATTTGAAATGATTGATTTACAATTATATGCTCTAACAGACACATTATCAAGATTCATACTCTAGCAAAGTATCCTAAATCCTTTACTGAATTAGTGTTTATTATATAGGATAACCTTCACTCCGACTATCCAGCATTGTAGCATGGCAACTGTGATTGGTCTCTGTCTGCGGGTGAAACTTAAACATTTTTTTCCCCCAAATTACAAGGTCAGTATACTTTCCTTTCCTTTGAAATAGTCCTGAAATGTTGGGAGTACTGTTTGTTCGATTTCAGTTCTCCACCATACTTGTTGCAATCACCAGATACCGATGAAATTTGTGATTTGTGGCTGGGTATTAAATTAATTTTGGAGAAGTTTGTAGGTTCTTGAAGGAAACGATCATAATAATAGTGTGCTGGCTGTATTTTTAAGATATTGTCTGGGGAATTCTTCGATAAACTGTTTTTTTAATTGTTTTTCTTACTGGATTGTACTTAATCGGTAATCATTTACAAAACTAAGGAAGAACTTAGAGAACAGAAAAATGAACTTTTTCAAAAAAAAAAAAAAAAAAACTACCCACCTATTTTTTTAGATTTTTTTCAATATAAAAAATGAAAACAATTTAGTTTAAAGAATATTTTGGAAACAAATTAATTTAAAAGTTAATTTTGAAAACAATTTCCTGGTGTTCTGTTATTGTAGGCAAACAAACTTCTTTTCTAATTATTTTTAATTTTAAAACTTATTTGGAAAGAATGTCTCTTTATCTTCCTTTTCTTTCAAGTTATACCTTAAAATATTTTTTATGAACAATTAATTTATAAAATATAATGGAAAAATATGCTATACTTACTCCATTTGAATCTTGTCTTCTTGAAATAGCCTTAGGGATTCTAATAGCCTTGAAAATCACAACTCAAACAATTTTGAATCTGGCTCGAGTTTAGGTCGTCCACTAAGTCTGGTTGTGGATTTTGCAGGTTGACATCAAAGTATTTCCAGGATCCCACGCTAATGAAGAATCAGGTAAGATTAAGACATTCTGTTTTAATAGATCAAGGAGAAAAAAATCATGAAATCAAAGATTGAACTTGTTAGAGCCGTGATAGTTAATACTTCTAATTAAGGGACTGTGTTTAATATCCTTTTAGTTACCACTTGCAGATGCTAATGCAGAATGTTTTCATCTTTAAATTTGTCTTTGTTTGGGAAAAAGAACAGTTAATAAGCAACTAAACGATAAAGAAAGAGTGGCAGCGGCAATGGAAAATCCAAATTTGCGTCAGCTTGTAGATGAATGCCTGTATTCCAGCGAGCTCTGAACAAATTATATATCAACGTACAGAGTGGAAAAAGGTAGTCTGTGAATGTAATATAGAAATATTAATATATGTGATTTTATTTACTTCTTTATTGGACCCTTCATCGGCTTCGAGCCTTGGATATTTCAGTTGGTTCTACAAAATATCTCTTCTGTATTGGACCCTTCATCGGCTTCCAGCCTTGGATATTTCAGTTGGTTCTACAAAATATCTCTTCTGTATTGGACCCTTCATCGGCTTCCAGCCTTGGATATTTCAGTTGGTTCTACAAAATATCTCTAAATTCGAGAGTTGATTTTAATTGTGTCCTCAGATTACAAGTTTTTTTTCTTTTTTTATCTAACTCTTAAATTTGGAAATTGTGACTAATGTGTGTGGATGAAGTCGTAAATTAATGTGGCAACTTGAGAAGAAAAATTGGTTGTGTGAATAATATTTTGTTTAAGATGAAAATGAAAATTCTAAAAATAAGAACCCTAAGAATCTATATATAAGTATTTTGTGTTAAAAATACTATCAAATTGATAATATTTTTATATAGATAAATAATATTTCCATTTTGTTTCGGCATGTAATTCCAACAAATTTATTACACTTATCATTGTGTCTTTATTGGAGGGTTTCTTTTTGGTGGTGAGCCGTTTCATTTTTGGGCTTCTTGTCTTCTACCCAATTTATGTAGGGTCAAGGCCTATAGACTATATCCTCCCCTTCAAGGGACAGGACTTGGGCGGTTCCTTCGCTGTGTCTGACCTTTTGAGCATTGGGGTGAAGTGGACGTTTTTCCCTTCTCTCGAGCTGGACGTTTTTCCCTTGGTGGTGTGGTGGTTTGCCACACTCGATGTTAGATAGTGAGTTTTCTTATTGGTCTAAGTTCTTTACCTTTGTTGTTGGAGCATTTACTCGAGTCTGCAAACTCAAATGCCATCTCCAATTATTTAATGGGTCTTTGGTATAATGATGGAAAATGTGTGCTTAAATACAAAAATCAAACAACATAGTACCTAGCAAGCCATGGATCACTTACGCTGCGCCAGGGGTCGAAGGAGGTCGGACTCCAAATCTGAACATGGGAAGATAAAAGGACAACTTCAGCGTATAGAAGAAGATCAATCTTTTCGGAGTTATGGATATTGAACTGCAGAGCCTGCTTCAAAGTCAACATTTAAGACACACCAAAGTTGGTCGTAAGTGCAGTGCACGTAGAAAATAATAATCCTATACATAACCAACCAGCCATCCACACAATTAACACTAAAACCTTACGTCTCACCTTTCCACCGCCATTGATTTTTTTTTTATTCAATTAAAAATTAAAGCATATTTTGATTATCATCTACCATTTCTGAAATACTAACATCAACATGAAGTAAAAGGTGCAGATTTAGAAGTTCTCCTTGGTATGAGAAATAAAGAATCAACTTATGTTTGACCATCGTGTCTAAAAAGGTAAATTCTTGCAAAACAAAAAGGAAAAAAGAATCACACAGGCACAACGAAAAGATGGCTATAACAAATATTCAATTCACTATTCATTACACAAAATAGTCAAGATCTGGACGGATTCGAACCATCAACCTCTCAAATTCTAGGAAGGAATTGAGCGCTCTACCTCTTTGAGCTTACAGATCTATTATAGTGAAGAACCGGAAAATTACTCCCAAAATTTAATTCAATCAAAGAACATAAAAATTTAATTATCATGGACTCTGAAAACCCCCATTTCTTCAGATGAATTTCGAAGTTCACAAGATAATTTAAAAAATACGATTCCATTTATAAACCTAAAATGCCCACCAGAGATGCTCGTATCAAATTCTCCCCAACCACACATCAGAAAACGTACAAGGTATTTGAGAAAGTAACATGCTAAATTCAAAACGGGGAACCATTTTAGTCTAAAGGTTGAGATGATCTAGCCAATGTTATTTATCCCAAAATCAAAAAACAATTTTTTAAACAATGAAAAATCAGTAGGAGATCACTCCAAGTACGCAGTGAAATATATTTTTATCACCTACGATAAAAAAAACTTGATTATGAAAACTATAAGAGCATCGAGAATTCAATTACCAACAAAAAAAAAATAACAGCTCCATTTTGTGGAAAATGCAACAGGAAAAAGTTTACGACTTTATAGATTACATCTAAAATTATGGGCTACGAAGGGATAAATACAAACAATAAACTATAAGAGCTAAAATATTTTTTAAAAAAAGTTCCAATTAATACATGACACGAAAATTGAAACAATTCAACTTCGCAATTAAAAACCAGGCAGATGAACTTATGTTCTTCAACACCTCCGGATAAATCGCCCTAGATGATAAGATTAGACCAGACGAAAAATCTAACACTACTAAATTAGGAGATTTCTCAATCGGATGGAAATTAACACACGTTCATTTTCCACATTATACTCGATGGCGTTCGTAACAAAACACATTACATGTATCATGTATCATGGGGTCTTCCACAAGATTAGAAAAAGTAATACCAAAAAGTACTTATGGTCTCAAAAAATAAATTAACAAGCCTTTTGAAGAGATAATTTCTAATATGAGAACCAAATCTAACAACGAATTAGAAAGCCTAGTGGAAGCATAATCAGTAACAGTAAGACTCGACTGACAAATAGTAAACGAAAATTGCGACTGACAAATCTAGAGAATTTAAACAAACTCACGACATGCGCAGCAGAAATAAATATACAATAAACAAGCTCCAAAATAACTTACAAAATAGTAGATTAATAGAGAGACCATGGATGAAAGTAAGATCCAAGAAGTACCAGCCGAGGAGATGATGACAGGATTCACGATAGAGCCAAGCTGATTGTTGTGCCTCCGTTGATCGCAAAATAATTCTTCGATTGCATGCACTCAAGTGCCGTTTGGACGCATCTTCTTCACTATCTAACAATAAAATAGCTGGGAAGACAAGGACTAGTTCTAACATAATATGCAAAACGTACAAAAACCCACGTTGGGTGTACCCTAAAGATCAAATGTGACAACTATTACCTATAAAAAAATATTAAACAACTTTTATAGCTAATGGAAGGGGAGAACAGCAAACCCAATTATATCACAACAATGTCGAAACATTGTTTTAGTTAGACAAAGAATGGAAACTATAAACTGGAAGAAATACGAATGGGGTAGGAACATCGTCGTAATAACATTGTTTTCCTTGAATTCGATGACACCCCCCTATAGCAAAGACTGTCGTTGACAAATCCCCAAAATGCTTAATTATTATTGGTACAAACATAAATAAAAAATTTATTATACAGGAGGGATGGATGGAAACAAGCGAATGACAACCGGAAAATGCTACTGTTTTCAAAGATAAACAAGAATATTCAACAATGATAAAAAAAATAAATGAAAGCCTTCGTTCTTTTTTTACTACGATTTCACGATTGTTCTGAAATTTAAATTAAAAAATCGGTAGAGTACCTTTGCATGTCGCGAGTTCGATCAGGTCAAAAGGCTATGACCAAAGAAGCGGTTCCATCGGTTGAAGTTGCAGAAACGAACGGAGAGAAATAGAGCAAGAGGAAAACAGACCAGCGAGGGAAGACCCCGGGCAATCCCCGTGCGATCTTCCCTCAAAACGAAAACATGCTTTTTTTATTATGAATGACCTGCCATGCAAGCGCACCTGTCATGGCAAAGGCCGGATGACAAAGAGCTACCAGAATTCATCCTCCTAAAAAAAAGAGGCTAAATCCCGATATCTTTACATCCACAATCACTCATCTACTTTTTTCTGATGCTTTCATAATTATGTACAAGATATAGCTTCCATCGAATAGTGGTCCACAGCTTTGCAATGTTGAACCACGAACAGATCGGATGAAATTATCTTGATCCGCAGCAACCAACCGCCTCATCGTCCGAAAACACGGAGTCTCCAAGCACGACTCGAAGCGTTACTGCCTCCATAAACATCCCACGCAAACCAAATTCCATACCTGTTCGAATAGACCGAAACAGCTTTTGTTGCACAATAATAATCAAAGAAAATACCGAAATCAAGAATCAAACTCTGGATTGGCGCGTGTAGGAAGGGTACTCCAACGATCGTCGCAGATACCAAACGAAGCCAAAAGAAAGAACAATAGAACAATCCAAGAATCGCGATCAGAACATAAACAGAAAAGAAAAGAAACCAGATCTGATGCTGAACCTGTAAATAAACAACCGACGTCCGTCACCGGAGGACGAATCCGTAAGAAACCGCTATCAACGCGTAGATCAACACCAGATCTACCGATCTACAGCCATCAGAACGGCGACAGAGAAGACGAAGGAGACAGATCTGCAAAACAAATAAACGTAGAAAAAATAGGGTTTGCAATGGAGGCAGATGAATGGCGGATGAGGATTTTATCTTTTTAAAGAGGGAGAAGATGAAATGGGCGGCTAGGATTAGGAAGCGGCAAAAACAATCGACGGATGATATTGAGTGACGTGGTTGAATTAATCAATAAGGCGGAGGAATAAATGCGAAAAATACGTGGAAATTGGGTGGTTGGGAATTTCACAGCTAATCGAAGGAGCGATCAACTTTAAGCAAATAACGTGATTATTTTATTTATATATTATTTAATAAAATTTTGTTTTCAGAATATTTGAAAAATATTTGTCTATGGCTTTGGAGACGTCAAGGTGGAAGCGCAGAACGGCAGCCCTACATTAAAGGCAAATTTTATAAAATATCTTAACGCGTGCTGGGTAGATTTGTAAATTTAATATATTGCTTTCACACATTAAATTTAATTAATATAATCTGTTTTTGTTTGATAATAAATGTAAATATGGAAACCTCAAATGCTTTTCTAACTTTAAATATATAATTAAAATCATATTAAAGTCAATATAAACATGAAGATTATTTTTTTTTTTTTAGGTTATCAACGAATGTCGATTCGAAATTATGTTATTTTTCCATTTGAAGATATTTTCTATATTGATTGAAATATAATTGTAAAGGGGTTTTTGTTTTTTTTAGACCAACAGTTCAAAGAACTAGAAAATGTTTATTTAGAGGAGAAAATACTAAAGGAGATAGGTCGAACAATAAATCTTTTAATTAATCTTATATTATAAAATTAATTTTAAAAAACAATAATTTTACATTTTAACTACGTAATTGATATAGTAATTTTGAAGATTATATCCCAGTTTCAAAAGTTGATCAAATGTATTAAATAATATAAAATTTCAAATATTGTCGTTAAATTCATCAACATTTTTTATTTTATAAATTTTGTACAATTATTGTTTTAAAATATTGTGATATACATTGATACATGTTTTAATTCCTTACCATTTATTATGGTTTTATCCTTTAAAAAAAAACAAATAATCCAGAGAAACAAAACTATTTTTAAATTTTTTTTAAAACTTACTTGAGTAGAAAGTAGATAATGAAACAAATAAACACAAAAATGGATTGAATATTTATATGTTTAATTTTAAAAATAAAAATAAAAATTTACAGCCTCATTTGATAACATTTTTTGTTTTTAAATTTTGAAATTTGTATTTGTTTTCTTGTAGTTTCTCTCTCTTTTTTTTCTTTTTTTTTAATAATAAATTTAAAATTGTAGCAAACTTTACAGAAGAAAAACAAATTCTTAAAAGCTATTTTTTTAATTGTAAATTCTGACTTGTCTTTTTTTAAGTACATAATTTTTTAAAAGCTAAACAAAACCCTTCTACATAATTTTTAAGTTGTGATAATTACAAATATTAAAATTATCGTAAATTATGTTGAATCTAAATGTACAATAATTTTATTTTTATAGAATGTTTTGTTCCAAAAGAAATTATTAAAATTACTAATTAATTAAATCGAAACTATTTTAATGAAAACATTTATTTGTTTATATAAACTAGTAAGCTTATCAAAAGACAACGGCTTAAGCATATTTAATTAGGAGTAAATTGAAATTTAAAATTTGGTGAAAAGTAATTTATAAATTTGATCATTTAGTCTCTATAATTTTGAATATTATAATTAACCATGATAGTTTGACATATGAGGAGTAAATTTTAATTTTCTTTAAAGTAGGACAAAATTTGTAAATGTTTCATAATCCCTCCAATCTTAAAGTCCATCCAAATATTTTGGATCAATGATTTAATTGATGGGCCAAACATGACTTAGTCAAGGACGTGGTCTTATAATTATGTCTTGAATAAATATTGCCTATTCACCACATTTTTTTAAAGAAAAGTTTATTGGTAATATCTTAGTACTGTAACAAAAACAATAATTAACATATTAATGATTCAAAAATTTATACTATAAACTTCCAATTTTCAAGTTATATATAATATATACACACATATGTTGTGTTATCTTACGTTCTTGCGTAAGACATAAAGTATTCAATATTTATGTATAAATATAGTTATTACGATTAATTATTCATTTGGATATAGTTTAATTAGTTAAAACATATATCATCTTATAAGGTTAAAAGTTTGAATCCTCACTCGTATATATTGATGAACTGTTTGAATGTAAGGTAAAAATCAATTAAACTTGTAAGCTTTCCAAGTATTGTCTCGAATCATTATGGCTATAGCTTTGCTCAATAGGCTATCTCCAGGGGTAGTACAAAATAATCATGGCGTATGAACGAGTCAAAATAGTTGTCATGAGACATAGACACGAACCTACATTCACGTTAAGAGATTCGAAATTCATCATAATTAATTAAAGTCGTATCTTTGTAAATTAATTTGCTTGTCCAAGATATTTTGATGTGATTATGATTATGTCGGACGTGCAATCAATCTTTATTTATTTTTATTCTTTTTCATTTTAACAATACGTAAAGAGATAAATTGTAACTTTCGATGTTTTAATCGATAAATGATATTATAATGTTTTAACTAAAACCACTGTGCTCGGGTTAGTTGTAATTATTTTTTTCTCACTAAAGTCTTGTTTTTGCACCTTTTCTTTGATGTTATTTGCTTAAATAGAAAAAACAATAGTGCCTTATAAAAAGTCTAAAATATTATTCGTAAGTTTATGTAAAATATATTTTACCTAAATAATAATAATTATAAAAGAAATGAAAGCTATATTATAAATAAATAATAATAATAATAATAAAACTTGACAGACAAACATCACTGCGATTCACAACGCAAGAACGAAGTGGGGAGCCAATCAATGGCCATATGTACTATATTCTATTTTATTACATTAAAAAAATATACAAATTCCCATCCCTTAATATCTATAATTAAATAAATGAAAAAGAGAAAGTAAAAAAGTAAAATAGTTAATAGTTCTTGGCGCCTAGCCTAATTATTATTATTATTATTTTCTAATATGATTCATTTAGTAGTTAAAATATACATATTAAATGGGAAGGAAAATTACGAAAATAAGAAGCAAATATTTAAACCCGAAAATGGTTTTGTGAAGAGGTCGGCAATGGCGCCCACTGAATAATCCTCGTGATTGCGACAAATTATGGTTTGAAATAAAAAAAAATTATAAAGAGGCGGTGGTTTCTTTTCCAGATTTTGAACAGAAGAGCTTTTGAAAATGTGTAGCAATGGCGTCATCCATACTGCAATTTGATATTTGTTTCGCTTTCGTTTTCAGTATCATACCATACCAGTGAAAAAGACCTGGCTGATCGACACTGATTTTCACCAACAACGAAAAGAAGAAGAAGAAGAAGAAGAAAAATTATAGGCAATCGATCAACGCCAGGAAGATACAGTTAAGAGAGGTACGTCGTTCCATGCCAGAGAAAGAAATTCCGGTGCCGATTCGATCAGAGAGTAGAGAGAATTGTAATTGTAGTTCCATAGAAGTATTTTGGCCTGACTAATGGCGTAATGGCTGAGTGCTACAGGTTCGAATCCGGAGCTCTCCATCAAATTCTTCCATTCTTCTTTGTCTTCCATGCGTACTCTTCTTTTGCTTCCTGATTCTTCTTCCGTTCCAATCACGCCGGCGATTCGACGACCGATCAACAGTTTCTCTAATTGGAGCCTTTCCGGCGAGTCTCGAGGCAGGTTTGGCTCTAGCGATTCGAAAATGGCGGAGTAGTATTTCAATGCGTTTTTGAAGCGATTGTAGAATTCAGTCCGGTTCAAACTCGCCTCGTACTCGCCGAGAGTCACAATTTTAGGGCTTAGCGATTTCGCTAATCGGAGAGCATTATGAACACCAACCGGAACCTCGTCGAGGAGACCGTACAATTGAAGCATGAAATTCACCGCCAATACCTCGTCCGATTGGATGCTGAAGCTCGATTTGTTCAGATCCTCAATCGGCGTTAGAATCGGTTCGAACTCGAAATTCAGTTCCAGAAGCTTTGCGAACTCGGAGAGTCTATTGCCGGTGGCGTACAGCGACGCCGCTGGAGACTCCCCAAGCGATGGTGCAGGTATTCCGGAGATACGAACTTTGATAGGCTTTCCGGTGGCTCGCGTGGTCAAAGCTTGCAGAAGCGCCGCCCATTGAACGCCCTGAACGATTCCGAAGTCGACAATGTGTATTTTACTGGCTCTCTGTGTAGCTTCCAGAATTGCTTGGTTCGCCGTGAGATGTGCGAACTTGGAGTAAGGACAAGCGTCGTTCAGAGCTTTGTACGAGAGCAAGAAATCTTCGGAATTAGCATCGGTCTCAATTGAATCCATGAAATTGTTCCTCGCCGCCGGGGATAATCTGTTCCGAAGAGCTTCGCCGAAGTAAAACGCCACTCGCTCAATCGGATCTCCATGTTCTAGCAACGATTTACCGATCCGATCGAGAGTTTTTACGGCTCTGTCGGGCTCGGAATCACAGAGCCGCGCACAATCCAGCAAGACTTTAAGAAGCGGCGGTGGCGGGGACGGCAACACCTCTTCAGGCGCGCTCGACGAGGCTTCTACAACGTCGTTCGTCTGCAGCTTCTCCGCCGGTGGATTGGCTACTCTAGCATCCTTTATTGATGGCGGAGGAGAACTCCACGGCGGCGGCGGAACGGTACTCGTGTTGCACGAACTTTCCGGTAGAACAGCTCGGTTAAAATCAGACGGCGGAGAGCAAGCGACAACGAGTCGACTCGGAGAGCCATTAAAGAGATCCACACCAAAGAGACCATACTCGGCATAAGCATCACAACCAGACGGCAGAGTAGAGCTATCCGTCGAATCTCCACCGCCGACCAAACTATCCATCCACTCATCAGAGTCGAACTCCCCACCGCCGAAGTTAGGGAAGAACCTAAACCCAGCAGATGGATGCTCCAAATTGGGAAAATGAAAAGCCGGCTCAGCAGAATCCGCATCTCCGGCGACCTGGAAGGGGTCAGCGAAGGCAGAACCAGAAACCCCAAAGGATAAATTAGGAGAAGAAGAAGAAGAAGCCATTGTTGGAGAAGAATTGGTAGTAGTCCAAGGAAGAAGCGAAAAGGGGGTAAGCGGACAAAGCTGCTGCTGCTGTTGCTGCTGCTGCTCCTGCTGTTGTTTCTGCTTGATGACTTGTTGGGCAATTGCCATTAGATTGCCACTGTCTGCGCACATATACGCCATTAACCTGTAACAGTACAACCTTGCTCTCCCAAAACCAGAGAGAAAGGAGCGAGTTACATTACCGGAACAAGAAAGAAGAAGAAAGCAGAGAGAGAGAGATGGAAAGTGGGAAAAATTGGGGGAAACAAAAACACAAGGCAGAGAGTGTGGAACAGAAGGGAAGAACAAGTCCGTTGGAGGAGAGAGAGAATGAGAGAGAGGGAGAGAGAGAAGAGGGGGAGTTGGGCAATGGGGTTTGGAATGGCATAAATAAATTTAGGGGCAGAGCGATGGAAGTCAAGTCCGTTGAAGGAAGCAGCGGACCCCACTTTCCCCATTCAGAACAAATTTTGAAGAGGAGAGAGATTTTTAGAGTCCTTTTTGAGTCCTAAAAATTGCTTTTTTCCAAAAATCCAAAAAACTACTATTTGGGTAATTGCTCTTTATATTTCAAAATACCATTTTATCAAATAGATCTAATTTTTTTAATGGACTCAGTCTATTATTAAAAATGTGAGAGTATTAACTAATAACAATTTAAACGACTTGATTAATTATAAATTATAAATTTTAAGATTGAGATTAAGATCAGATTAACTTAAGCCATGTTTTGCTGTCATTTTTGGTATAAACCCATAGTAATATTGGTTATTTTATTGATTATTATTATTATTTGTTTGTTTTAGAAAAGAAATTTAGTTTTATTCCGAGTTCTTAGGTTCAACAAATTCACACTCAATAAAGCTAGCCAAATACCAAATACCCTCTTAAATAGTAGAACGATGGCTTTTGTAATTTTCTTTTACTCAACATGTCACATTAAATAAATAAATAAATATATATATATATATATATACATCACAAGGTGGGGTGTGAATGGAATAAATATCTTGCAGTAGAAATTTTAAAATAAGAAAAAAAGAAGGAAAAAAAAGGTCCAATCTCTCTCAAGGCAAGCTGTGTGTGCGGCTGGGTTACGTGGCAGTGATGCGACGGTGGGCCCTGATTGGCCCGATATGACAACACCAACTCATGAACGTCCACATTCCGCTTTTTTTTCTTTTTTTCTTTTATTTAATCAAACATCTATTATTATTTTTCATCTCTCTCGGTGGGGTCCGTGACGATGACCTAAGCCCATGGGCCCACTTCTTAGCCTCATGAACGACACGTCGAATTAGGGCGAAATGGTGTCTGCTTCTTCTTTGATGTCGACCTTATGTTTATATTACAACACCACGCTCTCTACTACCTCTGCCAGAGCCAACAAGCAAAAAAACCCTAATAAACAAAAATCTCTTCTCTTTCCATACTCGTTTTATTTTATTTTTTCTTTTCGATTGAGAAGAGGATACTTTATGGACGGCAAGTGGGCCTAATGGGCCGGGGAATGGGCCCGGAAAAGATGGGAAAAGGGGCAATTAGGGTGGGGCCGATAGGAGTGATCTTCGACCAACTGAAATGGGACAGCTCGAAAAAGCAACGGTGAAGGGCACTCCCCACAGTCGCACTTTGACAAGGGACCCCTAATTCCACGTTGGCAAACTAGACCATTTCAATTTCCATTTCCTTTCCATTCCTAGTGGGGTTCCCACTCACTCTCACTCGAGTCAACTCACAAATACCTCTTCCTATTTCTCGATTCGACGTTAATAAAATTGAGCTTTAAAAATCGTTTTTAGTCACGCGCTCAAACTTTTACTCTATATTATTATTTTTCTAAAATTACAACTATACCATTAAAATTCGATACAACTCTACATTATATAAATTATCTACTTGAATTATACTAAGTTGACAAAAGTAGTATGTCATGATTTAATTGCAGGATTACTAATATTGAAAGTGGGCCGAATTGGCAAGGGTTGAAAGTAGTTTATGGAAATATTATTTTCCTTAATTTCCGTAACACCCTTGTGTTGGGTGCTATAATTTGCCTGTCCAAATTGGGGTCTCCTCCACTTAGTGCAACACACTATATGTAAGCCAATGCTCAAGAAATCCGAATAAAGAAAAAAAAGGGGTCCAATTGCTTGTAATAATAGAGTTTGGAGGGATGGGGTTCCCATCAGAGCCTTATAATTAATTGATTTAATGAATAAATCAATAATATTAGAAAGATTGGTAAAAATGTATTAGGGAAATTTAAAATGTAAAAACGGCAGAAAAAAGGGAAAGAGATTAGACAAGAAATCAAAGCAAATCAATTCAAAGACGACCCTTCCTTTTTTATTAAATTTAGGAAGACCCCACTTTCGAACCTTATCTAAACAACCTTTCCCTCTATTTTCTTTTCACATTCACTACCTTTCTCTTTTTCTTTTTTTTTTTTTACTCTTAATGTTCTTCTTTTTACTACTATTCGGTTTCACGCGTCGGGGTCGATTTGATTTTTGTTTTACAGAACATATATATATATATATATATATATATATATATATATATATATATATATATATATATGTCCGAGTTCAACATTTAGATCTATGTTGATTAATACAATTTAATAGATTATTTGTCAATTCAACTTCAATCTATTCGATTGATCATTCATTAATTCAATCAATTTACACCTAGCCTCTATATATAAACAAATTATCTTTAATTTTTCCCCTATGGCCTACTGATATATATATCTTTTTTCTGGCCAGAAATTGAACCAAACCAAAGCACACAAAACATAAGACAATGTATAGACTGTGAGAAGTATAAGACCAACAATTTATTTCATGAAAAAAAAAATCATCCACAGAAATTAAAAGATAATTATAGCCAATTGGGGAATCCCATAATCTATAACAATATAAATTTTTTTTGGCAATGGTTATGTGACATAAAGCAGTCGATGTGTGGTAAATAATATCTACAACTCATGTCAATGAATGATTGAGATTGAATTATAAGCATTAATGTTGTAGGATTGGTATTTCATGTCAAATCTGAAATGGAAATGCTACAGAAGAAGCAACTACTTTGTTGGAATTTAGTACTAAAATATAAAGCCAAAGTGGGAGAAACTGTCACTACAGAAGATCAAATACACACCACTCAAGTTTTTCCCCCCCTCCTAGATGCATCAATTCAATCAAATGAAAAAATTTCTCATCATTGTAGCGGAAGAAAAAGATGATATACAGACTCCCCAACTTGGCAGATATGATAAATCCAACTTTAATCAGAAACAGTGGTTTTGGTGTGGTTGGGGCACATGTGACTACGACTAATGACTCGGATCGATTGATACTTCCAAACCAACTAAGATCTCATTCGTATATTTGTAACTAGGCAGTTGCCAATTATGAAATAGTTCATAGAAAAAAAGAAATTACTAGAGACGGAAAAGTTACCTCAAGCAATTTATTGAGTAAAAAACCGTGACATCTCCTACTTGAATGATTCATACTTGTAGCTTATAAACGTCCATCCCCTTTCAAATCGGTAATATCATGTGGTAGGCCATGCCAATGAAAAAGGCAGAAAACTATAAAGACAAGGCATATTTTGCATGTGGATTGAATTTATGCACGAGCTTGATGACATGATTTACTTGTAAAAATAAAAACGATCTGCTTAAAGTTGCAGTGTTCTTTCATCTATTATTGTAAATAAACTACCAGAGTCTTTGATGATCAGTATAGACGGGCCTGAGGAGGGAATGATTCGACCTCATCATCCAATGCGTTCATGTGCACTGGCCTATAGTCCAGTCTGACCTTCTCATTCTATCTGCAAAATCAACCACATTATAAAAAATACAGAAGATGTTAATTGATTGAAGTCATAGGCGCACTAGTAAGTTGTTGAGATTGATTTCGGTTAATCTAGTTGAGCTAGGGGGCGATGATGGACCGAGAGCCCAAAGACGTGAAAAGGTGACAGACTAAGAATAAGAAGCGTCTTATTAATTAAAAACAGGACAATCTTGTTCTTTTACAGTGTCAGACACGAGAGTTACTCCAACGTGTGCTTCATCCAGTTCTCATCATCCCTTTTCTGCATAAGCAGTGTATAACAAAGTTACAGAAATAAAGTTGGAGGTAAGTGTTACTATCAATAGAAGAAAAAAAAACTAACTGTGAAATCTTCACGAGCATGTGCTCCTCTGCTCTCTTTCCTGGCTTCCGCAGAGTGCATGGTAATGCAGGCATTTATCAAAAGATTTTCCAATTCAATTGTATCTATGGAATCAGAGTTCATGTACTACGAATAAAGATCTTAAATCAATCCTTGAAAGAATTCAGTACATAAAACTTTATAATTATAATAACATTTAAAACAAACAGACAAAGAAAAGATAGAGAAACACCACGATCCTATTACCATATTAAAGTCCTGTCCTTGACCTTCACATCATGGATACTCTCCCATGCCTTGTCAATTAATTTGCACCCTAAAGAAGCAGAAGACAATAAAAGAGGTGGAAAAAAAGAATTGAGGCAGAGTTGCAGATAGATTAGAAGTTTTAATCTAAGTCTCTTTTCAGTTTGGCTAATACCTTCTTCCAAGGTCTCCAGTGTTCGGAAAACAGCAGCAGCAGCATTGTTTTGCATAATTCGTTGCATGTTTAACCGAATCTTCGAGGTGGGCAGTGAACCATTTGAGTTCCTTAGTTTGTCTAGCCATGCAATTGTCTTCTCACCAGCATCTTTTTCCAACGGATTTTGCCTTGCGCCTGCAAATTGCCCAGATAGAATTTTTTGACGTAACTGAATTTTTCTTATAATTATTGGTTGGATTGGGTTGTGGGTTCATCCTTCCTTTTTCGAGTTAAAAATTAAGCATCTTGCCTGGACTACTGATCTCTGCTACCCTATTTGCACCAGCTCGTCCAAAGACAACAATGTCCAAAAGCGAATTTGCACCAAGCCTATTAGCACCATGAACTGAAGCACAAAAAATTTGCACCAAGCCTATTAGCATCTGGATCATTGCCCTTGATTGTAACTACCTGACAAACAAAAAATTTACACATGAAGATAGCAAGAAGAGAAAAGATGAGACATTCCGAATTCTACAGACACAAAAAATTTATACATTTTCATTTTTGATGAAAAACCATACTTTCATTGAGGAAGAAAATTGAAAAAAATGAAATATAATTGGATTGCATTTTCATGCATACCTGTCCACGATAATTCGTGGGAATTCCACCCATATTGTAATGCACTGTAGATAAGACAGGAATGGGCTCTTTGGTAACATCAACGCCAGCAAATATGGCAGCAGTTTCTGAGATACCCG